ACACCACCGTCGTACTGAGCGAAGCTTTTGCTGTGGCGCTACCAGCGTCAACTGACAACGCTGAGCGGCTGTTACTGCTGAAAGCTTCGCTAAATTGGGCGCTCTTAAGTGAGTGGGACGCGGCGAAGTTGATGGTCGCGCTAAAAGCATTGCATTCTCTGCGGCTGCTGCAGTCTTCGCAGCTGCACCGTTTCGCCAACCAACTGATTCGCGAACCACTCGATTACGCTCGCGCCATCCTGCTGCTCGCCATTCAGCTTGCGCTGCCGGACGCGCCGACGCTCGATGCTGCGACGCTTTCTGCGTTGCAGGACGCCTGTGCACATACTGATCTGTTGTCCGCGGAGTGCCTTAGCGCTCTGACCGCTGCATCGCCGGCGACTGCTCGCGCCGCACTTATGCTGCATCTCGCGGAGAAACAGCTATCATCTCCGCTTCTTGCGCTGCTAGCTCTTGCGCACTTCGACTCTCCTGCCGACAGTTACCTTGGAGGAATGCACAAATTTAAGGAGTTTGGTGACAAAAAAACGTACCGTACGGCAAAAGTGCAGTCAAAGACTGCTGAAGGCTGCAGTCTTGTTGTGCTCAAACGGTTTCTGAGCTGCTGCGAGGACGATGACGCGGCTTTGCAGTTCAGCATGCTGCTTCTCGTGGTAGAATTTTTCAGAAACCGTGCAGGCCTTCTGAACGCATTGCTGTCGCGGCTCTTGGCGCGATACGATTACGACCGGCGCTTAGAGCTACTTCTCATGCTGTATGCGCACTGCGAGGTGTGCAAGTGCTGTCGTGATCAGTCTGTGACTGCACTGCTCGCCGAGACTATCAAGCGTGAATTCAAACTCTCGGATGCGCTTTTCGCTATGCAAAAGCTGGGTTGGACGCAAGAAGTTTCGCGTAGCGCTTCTGTCGCTCCCGCGTCTTTCTTCGCGCCGACTTTCCGCTGCGTCAACGAGCTGTTTGACGCACAGGAAGACGGCATGTTCGCGCTGCAACGTTTCGAGGGCTGCTCGCCGTTTGAGTATGGTAACGCTAACTTAGACGAAGGCGCGTCAGTCGGTTTCGTATCGGACCAATTACAGACGATACTGGCGCTGTTGCTCTCTGAGTGCAGCGTTAAGCGCATCTCTGCGTCCGCGTACAACGACGTACTGCAGAATAGCGACTCATTCTTTTTCTGCGAGTGCTCCTCTGCGCTGTTTACGCGGTGCTTTGCTGCAGCGCGGTTGGAACTGCCGCATAAGTTGCTTTTCTCGCCGTTTCTTCTTGCGCAAAGCTTCCAACGCAAGTCGGCGCAGTATAAGACAGAGTACGTGCAACAGTGCTTTCGCCGCCTCGTGCGCTCCGTTCAGGAGATTGTGAACGTTTACGGGCTGTCCGGTTTGAGCGTTAAGTCCTCTATCGTCGGAAAGAAAAGCACGGTGCTGTTAATGTTGAAGGACGAGGACGAAGAGAGTGTTGCGCTAAGTTTCGACGCGCTGCTTCGTTACGACGCACGGCCCGCGCTGCAGTTCCACTGCCCGCGACTGCTCGCGTCGTTTGGCGCGCTGCAGAGCGCGGTCGTGCAGTTTTTGCAGCAGCCGGTCGACAACGACTTGCTGCACCCTTGGCTGCAGGCACGCGTTCGGTTGTTCGACTGCATGTTTGGCGCGGCCGCAAAGATCTGCAGCGTTGGTTTATTGGTGCACGCGTTCTTTGCGCAGCTCGCGTCGTGCGTAATTTGCTTTGTGAAGATTAAGGAGGGCAAGGAGCTGCCGCTAGACAAGTGCGTCGGCTGCGAAGCTGCGTACCACGAGTCGTGCAAAAAGCGTTATTTGGCGACGAACTCCAGCAATGCCTGTCCGCTTTGTCGAGTGGTCGAGCTGACGTAGCGTAAATCCGCAGCTATTTTCAGTGTGCGAAAGCGCTTTTTGTCCTAATGCAGAAAAAATCCTTGGAAAAGGTAGTTTTCCGCGTTACTCCGCTGCACTGCGAAGCGTGCTGCAGCCGCATTAAAGAGAACTTGGCCGTAGTTCCAGGCGTTAGCGCCGTGACGGTCGATCTCGCGTTGCAACGCGCTGTTTGCAGCTTCGATTCGAGCGTAGTGCAGAGCAGCGATTTGGAGATTTACCTCGCCGAATTGGGCTTCGAAACGGAGCGCTTGGTTTGCGGTGCGGCAGAGCGCAGCGAACCGGAGCCGGACTTGCTCGGCGCGTCTTTGGCGTGCCCAAAAGACGCGATCACTATCGAAATAACTTCGACAGACGAAGACGAGGCGCGGAAGAAAGACCCTGCGCGCGACGAACACTGCGGATGCGGCAGCGCGAGCGCGCGCCTCGAGTTCTATCTAGACTGTCAGAGCTCGTTTTGGGTCCACGCGTTGCAGTTTTCCAAAGACGCGCTGTACCCAGTCACCGCGCTTTCTCTATTCGCAAACGCGGTGTTGACAAAGCTATGCCGCTTCGCGAAGTTTCGCTATTTGTTGACGCGCGCTTTTTCTTCGTGGACTGTGCTGCAAAGCTTTTGCAACATAGAAGCTGCCAACGCGCTGCAAACTGCGATCGCCAACGAGCCGGACGTGTGCAGCTGCGACGTGCAAGTTTGCAAGTTCTGCCCGGGATTGTTTGAGGTGAAAGTCGAGTTTGAGCAGGCGCGCATGCACCGCGCGCTGCGCCTCAAAGTCTTAGAAGAGACGTTGCGCTTGACGACTGACGGCGCCGCGAAGCTGCGCTTTTCGCTGGGCGCTGCGGTCGCGATCCGCGGCGAGCTTTATGAGTCTTTTCACCTCGCAGTGACTTCGCTGGCTAGCGTTTTTTTCTTCCTCGGGTACTCGTGGCTGTGCCGGCACAACGTGTTTGCGGCGCTGCTGAACGCGCGTTCTGCAGAGCCTGGCTCGAGCGCTGCGCGCGACTGGTTTTCGGTGCTGGCGCATCCGCTGTTGTTGCGCGTTGCTTTCGTGCTGCTGATGCTGTTTTGGTTCGCGGCCAACTGGTTCCGCCTCGTGACGAACATACTGGTGCATCGGCGCAGCGCGCTCTACGCGCTTGTTCGAAACCGCTCGGCGCGCTCACTCAACTTCGAGACGTTCGTTTCCACGGTGTTGTTTCTGCAAACGCTCATCGGCACTTTCGAATATCTGTACTGTTTGCTGCGGTTGGACCCCGGCGCGTTGGCTCGCTACGACCTGTTCGGTTCTGGAAACCTGACTTTTGCAATTCAAACGGACTACAGTGCGCCCGTCCGCTGGACGTTCTTGAGCGTGTTGCAGCAGGTCGCGCGCATCGAGGTTCCGTTCGCGCTCAGCAGTGCGTCGCTCTTCCTCGCGCTTTCGTCGCTGGGCAAAGCGCTGCCCAACCTGCTGAGGAGCACCACGTCTGACAAGCTGCGCAGCAAGTTGCGCTTGCAGCCCACGTACTCGCTACTGGTGCGCAGCAGCGAGTACTACTCGCGCGAAACCACGGTGATCGACAACCCGATCGTTTCGATGGACGAGTTGCAGGTGATCAACCAGCTCTCGCTGAGCGAGGAGCGAATTTGCAACATTAAGGCGCTGCTGAGCGGCGAGCGTTTCGCATGTGTCGCCGTGCCGCACGTGTTGCTTGAACGCGGGGATTTGCTGCGTGTCGAGTCGCGCGCCGTCGTGCCCGCTGACGCTGTCGCGCTGCACGTCGTCGGCGACGCGTACTACGACCTCGCGAGCCAGACGGGCAAGTCCACCTACTTCCGGTTGCACGTCGGCTCGAAGGTTCCGGCGGGCGCTGTGCTCGAGGCAGAGTGTCCCGTGTTTTTGCTGGTCAACTCGTCAAGCGCCGACTCGCAGTACGGACAGATCCTGCACGCTTTGCAGAAAGCTATTCGGCGTTCGCACGACACGCCCATCGTGCGCTTGCTGAACTCCTACGCGCGCGCCGCGAGTTGCGCCTTCGTATGCCTCAGCCTGCTGACGATGCTGTACTGGGGCGTGCGGCTGCACTTTTACGGCGCAGATCCGATCGCGGTGTCCACCTTCCCAAGCGTCAACAAGTTCTACACTGTCTTCGTGCAGGGGTTGAACGTGCTCGCGGTCGCGTGCCCATGCGCCGTGAACATCGCGATCCCCGCGCTGTACAGCTTCACGGTGATTCGGCTCGCTCGCATGAACATTATCGTGAAAGACCCGGAAGCGCTGGACGCATTCGAAGACGTGCGCACGCTGTTCTTCGACAAAACCGGAACGCTCGAGTGCGCCTCGTACACGGTGCAGCGGTTCGCCGTCAGCGAAACCTCGCGCTGGTTCGCGCAGTTCGGCCGCGAGTACGTGGAGGCTTTGGTGATCACCGGCGTGCGGCTAATGGAGGTCAGCTCGCAGCACCCGATGGCGAAGGCGATCTACACGTATTGCTGCGAGCACCGGCTGCGCTGCCGCACGCGGTTTGGCACCTGCCGCAAGCTCGGCAAGACGCTGCAACTGAACTTTTCCGACGAGCGGCTACAGTCCGTGCTGATCTTGTCCGAGAACTACGACCTGCGTGACGCGCTGCGCGTCTACCAGGTGCTCAGTCCGCACGACGAGGTACTGGCCGTGTTCGAGATCAAGCCGCAAATTTCGGAAGAGACGCGGCACACGCTGCGCTTCCTGGGCCGGCACTTCGACCTGCGCGTGATCACGGGCGCCGGCGAGCAAAGCTGCGGGGACGTGCGCGCGCTCAAAGTTTTCAAGCACGTGTACGCGACGCAGACGCCGTGGGGCAAGCGCGAAGTGCTGCGCGAAGCCGGCGCGCAGTGCGCCATGGTCGGCGACGGGTTCAACGACGTGCTGGCCTTCCAGAGCGCGAGAGTTTCGTTCGCGATCAACTCGACCTTCGACGCGCCGCATAGCGTCGCGAGCGTCTCGATTCTGAGCAATCGTCTCGACACGCTGCGCGAGTTTTATTACGCGAGCAAGGCGGTGCGCCAGGGCACGAAGCTCTGTCTGTTGTGGTGCACGCTGTTCAATCTGCTGGCCATTCCGACAGCGGCGGGCCTCGTCTTTCGCGTGTGGCGCTTTACGCCCTCCTACTGCACGGTGCTGATGGCGCTGAGCTCGGTGGCGCTGCTGCTCTTGGCGTTCGGCAGCGCGTTTTACCTGCCGCGCTTGCTCGCGGTGACGGACTCGAGGAAGAGCGCGCTCGGCCAAAATATAGCGGAAGTGATTAAATTTGCATTCTAAATCGCGATTTGCGGCGAACAACGCGTCAGTCGAGATGGGCCGCGCGTTAGACGCTGCGAGCTGGGTGCCGGTTCCGAAATACGGCGCGGCGCTGGCCGAAGAAGACAGCGCCGGGTTTCCGGTGCAGGCGCTCGTGCTCGTGGCGGTGTACTGCGTGTGGCTCGTGCTCTCCTTCGTATACTTGGGGTACGTGCTGCACGGCGCCGGCAAGGCCGAGCCGCTGCGCATCAAGCGGCGGTAGCTAGACAAAAAACGCGGCGCGCGACCACTTCAGCACGCTGATGATGAACAGATACACGATGCACGCGGCGACGACGTACGCGATGGTGCGCAGCCGCGAGCGGAACTTGTGCGGCGTGCTCTTTGAGAGCAAGTTGCCGAAGAAGCTGACGTTTTGCTGGAGCGGCTCTAGATACGGATCTCGGTTTGGCTCCGAGGTGCCGCTGCCGACCGGATGTTCGCGCGCGAACTCGTCGTTCACGAGTTCGAGGTCCAGTTCGAGGCTCGGGCGCGATTCGCGCTCGGGAGTCTTGCTCGGCGCGAGCGCGACGGTGCCGAGCGCGACCACCTTCTCGCAGTCCGACTCGTTGTAGCGCAGCCGACTGATGTGCGGCGTCAGCAGCAGCTCGGTCTCGGCAATCATCTCGCCGATCTGCAGCAGGTTTGTTGACCACACTTGCAGCCGTAGCGTGCCCGCCAGGCAGTCATCGGGCACCTGCAGCAGCAGACGCCAGTTCAGGCGCACCAGTGCGCTGCGCGAGTTGTACAGCACCGGCGTGTCAACGAGCTGCTCCTCGCCGGAGCGCAGGTCGGTGAAGAGCAGCCGGACGGAGATCGCGTGCTTCTCGTCCGGCGGCAGCGGCAGCTGGCGCAGCGCGATCAGCGCCGCGCGGACGTGCAGCGCTCCGGTGTTCAAGCTTTCGAGCGGGACCAGGCTGTGGTTGCTCAGCTCCGCTTCGCGCAGCAGGCTCACGCTCAGCTGCAGCTTGCCGCACTCTTGCAGCGCGAGCAGCGGCTGCGCACGCGTGCCGCTCGTGAACAGCGTGCGCGTCTCGAGCACCTGGTCGATGCGGTGCTTCTCGTACCACTCGTCGTCGAGCCAGCGCTTCAGCAGGTTGACGTGCGTGCGGCTGTGCACGAACGGCTTTGATTCTTCGAACGTGGCGGACGCGTCTGGCGCGCCGCTGTGCTCGACGACCGAGATTTGCAGCACTGCGTTCTCGAGCAGCGAGATGCTCGTCTCGTAGCTGATGTAGAACGCCGGCTGATGCGCGACCACGCTCTTTTGCAGCCAGATGTCGCGCAGCCCCTCCGCGGCGCCCTTCGCGTCGGTTTTGGCGTCGCCTTCGGTCGCCGCGCCGAGCCGCAGCAGCACGGACCAGTAGACGTCGCGTTTCGCGGCTTTGCGCGGGTAGCGCGAGACCAGCCCGATCGCGCGGTGGATGTGCAGCCGCAGCACGAGTTGCTCGGAAATTTGCAGGCGCGCGCTGCAGCGCGCGAGCGCGACCTCCATCGCCGCATCCGCTTCCGCGTCGCTGTTCGCGAGCTTCACGAGCGCGTTGACGTAGCCGAGCAGCAGTTTGCGGTTGCCCTCGATCTGCCGCCAGATCGGCAGTGTCATTACCTCCGCGGCGCGGCCGCGCATCTCGAACTCGTAGTTGTGCGGCACCTGCAGCTCGCTTTGCGCTTCACGGCCCTCGCACTCGTTCTGCACGGCGTTCCAAAAGACGCGCGAACAGCTCTCGAACACGGCTTGCGGCAGCGCGTATTGCATGTCTGGGTGGCCGCGCGTGACGTACTTGTTGAACAGCGGGCTGGCGTCGAGTCCCTGCGCCGCGCGGCTATCGGCCGCGAACGGCTGGTTCAGCGAGAGCAGCCGCATGGCGAAGCTGGCCTCCGCGAACGCGTCGTAGCCGAGCTCGTAGAGCTCTTCACAGGTCGGCGCGAACGCGGTGCGCAGCAGTTCGCGAAAGTCCTCGTCGCCGCCGCCGAGCAGCGGGTTGAGGTGCGCCTTGGCGTAGGCTATTTCACTGCCGAACCTCGCCTCGAACTCGACGAAGCTTTGGAACAGGCTGAATTTGTCGAGCAGCACGCTGAACTGCACGACGTTCTCGCGCGCAAGCCGCATCGGGAGGTCGAACAGCGCCTGTTTCGAGTAGAGCAGCGTCGCGTCGTCTAGCGCGTGCCGCAGGTCGCCGTTTGTGATCTTGAACTGTGCGCGCACCGTCAGCGCGAGGTCGGAGCGAACGTAGTGCTTGTACGGCAGCAGCGAGACGCCGAGCACCGCGAGCCGCCCGAAACAGCGCTTGCGCGGAAACGACATGAGCAGCAAGTCTGCGTTGCCGCTGGGCGGCTCGTCTGCGAAGACGAGCTGCGCCGAGAGCAGCAGCTTGGTGATGTGCGAGCGCGTGTGCTGCCGTGGCGTGAACGCGATCCAGACCGGGTTTTGCATGCGCAGCAGCTTCACGATCTCGAAGGGAATCACGCAGGAGCCGACCTCGAAGGGCCGCAGGCTGCCGTACTGCACCAAGTCGAGCCGCAGGTCGCTGCTGAGCCCGGCTGCCAAGAAAATTGTCAGGCTCACGCTGCGGATGATTTCGAGCTCCTTGTTTTCGACGTTCGCGAAGCGCCCGCTCGAGATGCGCTCGCCGCCAATCGACGCGACTAGCGCGTACTCGTCAAACAGCTCCGCGCCGTTGACCCACGCGCGGCGCGGCGCGTCTTCGAGTTGGTACAGCTTGAAGCGCAGCAGCGCGTCGCGCGTGCGCAGCACGGCCGGCGGCGGCGGCGCGCCTGCGTGCGCCACTCCGCGCGCCTCCGCGCTGACGAGCGCGCGTAGCACGACGCCGCCCGCGCTCTCGCTGAGCAGCGTGAACTCCGTCCAAATCGGGATCTTCTCTTCGCCGGTGTAGAAGCCGGCGAGCACTTTGCGCGTCGGCAGCGCGAGGAAGCCGCACGCGACCACATTCCGCGCGGCGTCCGAGACCAGCAGCTTCAGCAGCGTCTGCGGCGCGAGCTGGTTCGCGTGCACGACGACGTCGTCGAGCGCGAGCAGCAGGTTCAGCAATTCTGCGCGGTTCTCGCGCGTGGCGGTGAACGCCGCGGTTGTCGCCTCCGCGCCATTCTCGAGCCGCAGCTGCACGTGCAGCTGCTGGTGCGCGAGCAGCAGCTCGTCGAGACTAATGCGGTAGACGTAGAACCACAGCTTGTAGTGCGCGCTCGCGGGGTCTTTCGTGATGATCTCGAACTTTTTGAGCGGGCGCATCTCGATCGCGGCGCTCTGCGCGAGAGCGTCGTTGGTCACCGCGCCGACAAGCAGCAGTTTGCCGTGGTAGCTTTGCTGCGCGAAAAACGCCGCGGGCGCGGGCGGCGCGCCAGCCGTCGTCGCGAGCTCGAGCTCGCCGGCCGCGTTCTCAACGAGCTGGTCGTAGAAGAACCACCAAAAGGGCCAGTGCTGTTCGGCGAGCAGGTGCGCGACGCAGATCTGCGCGTGCAGCGTGGTGACCGCGTCCCTGCTGTCGGTGATTTGCGCGGTGAGCTCGACGCTCCCGTCCGCGCCGCAGTTCCGCGCCTTGATCAGCGCGAGACTGTTGAACGTGAAGACGCGGAACGCGGCGTGGCCGCGCACGAGCGCACTGTGGAAGTCGTGCTTGACGCGCAGCACGACTTTGTCCTGTGAGTGGTCGAGCTGGTCGCCCGGGCGCAGCACGTCGGCGAGCCGCAGCAGCTGCAGCTCGAGCCGCTGCAGCGCGGGCGCGTCGTCGTCGGACTCGTCGAGCTCGTGCAGCGCGTTCGCGGTGAGCGCGGGCGAATCCGCGCTCGAGCCGCGGCGCAGCAGCGCGCCTTCCGCGCCGCTCAGGAACGCGAAGCTCAGCGAGACCTTGCCGACGCAGACCTCGTGCGCGTCGAACAGCTTGAACACCTGTTCGCCGATCTCGGCCTTGCAGGCCGCGTGCCACTCGGCCGCGCTGAGCGTCGCGGCGCCGATGCGCACGTTCTCGAAGAAGCCGCTGTGGTGCGCCGCGACGGTGAGCGGCGGCAGTTCTTCGCGGCGCGAGACGTGCTCCGCGTCGAGCGGCAGCGTAAACACGCTCTCGAAGTGTGCGTTCTTGCACTTGCGGCGCACGTCGGACTTGCGCTCCGCGCGGCCGAGCTCGACGGTCACGAACAGGTTGGGCATCGCGGGCAGTGTCAGCTCGGTCGTTTTGCGCGAGAGCTTCGAGAGCAGGTTGAGCTGCTGCGCGCTCACGGTCTGGTTCACCGCGCCGGGCGGCCACGCCACGGCGCTCAGGCTGTGCACCGTCACCTGCAGCCCGCTCTCGAGCTGGTTGCTGGTTTCCATGCGAATATGTGCACCCGTTTTGTACCCTAATTGCGGCGCGCCGTTGCGTGGCGCTACGGCACGCGCCCGTTCCACAGCAGCGCGCAGACGAGCCCCGCGGCGAACGCCGCGACGGCCGGCAACGCGACCAGCACGCAGATGCCGAAGCGCACGAGCAGCGAGAGCGCCGCGCCGAGCGCCGGCTCTGGCGGCGCGAACGCGGCCTCCGCGGGCGCCAGCCGCTCGCTCGCGCCGCTTTCCGCGAGCGACTGCTGTGTGTACAGCGGTGGCAGCGAGCGGCGCGGCCGCAGCGGCTGGTCGCCGCTCGACCGGGTCGGCATATTATGCAGCGATAAAAGAAAAATGAACGCGCCGCGCGCCGCCGGCTACTTCCAGTCGTGCATGCCCCAGTCAGGGTAAATCTGCGCCAGAATCGCCGAGTCGTGCGGCTTGTGCCGCAGCAGCGAGGAAATGATGCGAATCACCGGCTGCAGCTCTTTCAGCTGGAAGCCGCAGTACTGGAACAGCCGCTCCGGCAAAAACTCGAAGCTGCGCATGCGCCGGTCGCCGTTCACGATCTTCACAGCCAGCACCGTCGCCGCGGACGCAATCACGCTCGGCGTGTACTGCATCAGACACGAGCGCTCGCTGGACGCGAACGTGCCCAGCGCCAGCAAGTAGTGCCCCAGCGACGTGTACTCCTTCACCAAACTCTGCGGCCAGCCGCCCACGCGCACGAAGTGCCGGAAGTACTGCACCGTCAGCGGCACGTCGATCATGTCGTTCAGAATCTGCAGCGTCTCGTGCTCGAGCACGCGCAACGACTTCTCGCAGCGGTCGATTGTCCACGCGTCGAAGATCGGGAAGATGTCCCACAGTTGTCCGATGGTCCAGAGCGTTTCGGGGCGCTCTTCGAACTTCAGCGCGAGGCGCAGCGAGGTGAGGATCACGCCCGCGAACCAGTTGCGCGTGAGCAGCGCGGGTCGCTTTTCGCTGAGCACGCGGTTCAAGATCCAGATCGCCAAGTGGATCGTCACCGGCGAGATGCGGTGCGTCAGACAGGTGCGCCAGTAGGAGGCGATCGCGCGCAGCCGCAGCTGCTCCCACGGCGAGTTCATGAAGCACATGCTGTTCAGAATCATGCCGCGCTCGCGCGCCATGTTGTGGTGGAACCAGCTCAGCGCGTAGTTCGTCTCGTCGATGTGCGCGTTTTCCGTCTGCCGCTCCGGCTCGTCGCGCACCCACAAACACAGCGGCTGGTTCAGCGCGCTTTCGAGCTCCTCCGCCGTGCGCTCCGAGTCTTTCGACGCGGCGCTCAGTTCCGTCGAGTTCGTCAAGTCCCTGCTCAGCGCGAAGTGCGCCGGCGCCGCGTGCAGTTTCGAGTTGACCGTGGTAGTCATCAAAGGCCAGAAGTCTCCCAGCGTTCACTCACAGCAGCTTCGCTCGTTTCGCATTCTTCGAATGGCGCGACGTACTCGCTCTGTGTCTGCGAAAATCTCGGAATATAAATTGTTTTCCTGTGCAGACTTCTGCAGATCAATAAAAACAATCCGCTGTGTTAATTAATAGTGGGAAATTTGCACAACTGATATACGCGATTTTCGGTTGTTAATATTTTCGAGCTGCCGCGCGATGCGCAAAGTGTAAGTCGCGCGCGCTGCCAGCAGCACTATTTCGCTGCAGTTCGCGTCGCCGCGCACCGCGCCCGCGCTATGCGCAGCTCTCGCGGTCGACGCGGCGCTGTGCGCTGCGAGCGTGCGCGTCGCCGACGCGCACACGCTGGCCCTGTAAGTGCGCGCGCGCGTGAGCAGGGAACTCGCCGCGCCGGACGCGGCGCTACTGAAAAAACAGCTTAACGCTTACCACAAGGCGCTCGGCACCGCGCTCGCGGTCGTCGAAGCGTTCGCGCCGGAAAATTGATTTCCGTTTTTCGCGAATTAAATTCGCGCCATGCAGCCGCTCGAAATCGTGCGGCTCAAGAGCGAGCAGCTGCGGAAGCTGTTCGATATTTTCGACATCGAGGCGAAGGGCGTCATCAGTCTGATCGAGTTCCGCGCGGTGCTCGCCGCGCTGCAGATCGACCTCTCGCTTGCGAACCTCGCGCTGGTCTTCGCCTCGAGCGACAACCACCACAAGGTGAGTTTCGCGCAGTTCCAGCGCGTGATCGAGCAGCACTTGCCGCGCGCCGGCACGTCGGAGAGCTTCATGCACATCTTCCGGCTCTTCTGCGGCGAAGCGCAGGAGAACATTTCGCTCGGCAGCTTGCGCGCGCTCTGTGCGAAGATCGGCGAGCCGATCTCTGAGCAAGAATTACAGCTGCTGTTTGACGCTGCGGACCTCGACGGCGACGGGCGCATCTCGGCGCACGAGTTTCTCAGCCTGGTGCAGAACGCGTACACTCCTCCCGCCGACGCGCCGCGCTGAGCAGCGCGCGCGCCTGCACGTTCGGGTCGAACTTCTTCAGAAAGCCGAGCACCATGCTGCTGTACAGGCGCTTGAGGCTCTGGAACTGCCCGTGCACCGTGTCGCGCACGCTGTCGACGTGCGCGTCGAAGCCGCTGCCGACCGGCCGCCGCGCCTGCGTCGCGCGCTTGAGACCGAGGCTCGCCGACGCGCGCCACTTCTTCAGCACCGTCTGCAGCTGGATCGTGTTCGCGGTGACCGCGTTGATGTTCAGCTCTTTCGGCGAGACGCCGCGCTTCAGACTGCGGTACACGAAGTCGTTGTAGTTGCGCAGAATGCGCAGGATGATGTCTGTCGTGCTGACGCCCTCCGTGCGGCGCGTCGCCAAAAACAAACCTTCATCCTTCAGCCACTTGTAGACGTCGTCCGAGCCGGCGCTCACGTACGGCGCGTCGTCGTGCGCCACATAATCGATTTTGTATTTATTTACAAATTCGCGAGTCACGATCCAAGGGCTGCCGGCGACGACCTCGTCGACCCACTTGATGTGGCGCAGCGTCTCGACGCGCTCTTCGAGCGTCTGCACGGTCAACCCTTTGTACTTGTGCGTGTCCTCGTCGGAGCACACGCCGACGATCAGATACACGTTCGGAAATAGATGTTTCGCTTGCTCGAGCTGGCGCATGTGCCCCAAGTGCAGCAAGTCGTAGATCCCGTCGGCGAAGACGCGGACCGCCGGCGCGTCAGCCATTTTGATCAAATTAAAATAGTAAATCGCGAATTTGCGTTTCGCCGCTAGCGCGCGAGCCTCAGCGCGCGCGTCCAGGCCGCTTCGTCCGGCGACGCGCGCTCGAACGGCGCCGCGGCGAACGCCGTTTTCGGCGGCGCGTTCACGCGCGCGCAGAGCGTCTGGAACGTTTCGCCGTTTGGGCCGAACTGCAGCGCGCAAGGCGCGCACTTGAAGTTCTCGCGCGTCCGCGCGTCGGCCTGCGTGTAGCAGCAGCAGCAAGGTTCCACCGGTTTCCACGAAAGCACGAGGCTGTGCCCGTGCTCGAAGTCGAAGTAAATCTGCCGGTAGAAGTAGACGATCGGCGCGATCGCGCCGGCCGCGCCGAGCAGCCGCAGCAGCAGCAGGCCGAACGTCCAGTGTCGCGGCACGAGCCAAAAGACGTACGCCGCGCAGCCGCGCGTCAGTCCGTTGCTGCGCGCGCGCGAGCGCGGCGCGGAGATGCCGAACGCCTCGAACTGCGTTACCGTCGCGAGCGTCGCGCAGAGCCCGCCGGTGAAGCCGAAGATGTGCGCCCAAGACGCGGTGGTCGGGTCGAGCGTGCTCAAAACGCTGGTGACGCAGAAGACGAGCACCAGCGACGCGGTGATCAACGGGTGCCGCAGCTGGCGGTAGAACTCGAGCTGTAGCACTATGTAGGCGCTCATCAAGCCATACGCGCCGCCCGAAGCGCCCACGATCGTCGAGCATGGCTGCAGGCTCGCCGCAGCCAAGTTGCCCGTCAAGCCCGCCGTCAAGAGTACCAGCAACGAACGACCGGCGCCGTACACGCTCTCGATCGAGAACAGCGCAGGCACGATACCCAGCAAGTTCAGCACGATGTGCACCCAGCCAGCGTGCAGCAGCATTGCCCAGTACAGCGGCAAGTGCTCTCCGGAGCGCAGCCGGTTCACGTTGCAGCCGCCGAGTTTCGAGATCGTCAGCGGGCGCGGGCCGAAATTGGAATTTTCCTCACGCGGCGCGTAGCACGACTCGTCGTTCAGGCACGAGTACATCAGCAACTGCAGGAACACCGCGACGAACGCGGCGGTCACCGCGATCAGCAGCGGACAAGCCATGATGCTGTTGGCGTGCACGGCGCGGAAAATCTCGCGGCTGCGTTGTTTCCGCAGCGTCTTCTTGTTCAGCGCGCGCACCCACGCGTGCTTCTTGCGCTGCGACTGCGCGACGATTTGACTCAAACTCGAGCGGAAGTTGACGCGGAAAAAGGAATTCTGCGCGTGCTCCGCGTCGGAAGGCGGTTGCGACAGCAGCTCCGCCGGCGCGTTTGCGGGCGCGTTTGCGGGCGCGTTTGCGGGCGCGTTTGCGGGCGCGTTTGCGGGCGCATTTGCGGGCGCATTTGCGGGCGCATTTGCGGGCGCGTTTGCGGGCGCATTTGCGGGCGCATTTGCGGGCGCGTTTGCGGGCGGGTCTGCGAAGCGCAGCGCGCGGTAAGACGCGTCCAGCTCGCTGCACGGCGCGATGCGCACTCGATCGCGGTTAGACATGCTAGCCCGCGGCAGGACACATGTGCGCGGAAAATAGCAAATTTGATCAAATATTTTCTGCTCCGTAGCGACAGGGGCGCAACAAACTGCTGTCGCTCGCGCAGAGCGCGGCGCCCGCGCCGGGCCGCTTCGTGAACTCCCACACGACGAAGAGCGGCAGTTTGCGCGTCGCGACCAACTCGAAGCCGCAGGCGGCCACGCGGCTCGAGAACGCGTCGAACGAGTTTAGGCGGCTCACCGCCTCCGCGACGAAGAGCGCGCCCGCGGGCTTCAGCAGCCGCGCGCCTTCGTTGAACGACGCAGTCCAGTCTGTGTTCATCAAGCTCAGACAGAACACCGCAGCGTCGGCGACGGCGTCGCTGAAAATACAGAGGTTGCTCGTGGAGCGCACGCACAGCCCGCCGAGTTGCAGCAGCGCTTCAGCAGAGCGCCGCGTCGGCGGCAGCGAGCGACTGGCGCGCGGCGGCGGATTGAAGTCCACCGAGACGACCCGGACCGTGCTGTGCACTGCGAGCAACTGCGCGAGCCGGCAGCTTCCTGCGCCCAAGTCGAACACGACAGCCTCGGGCGCGGCGCCGAGCCGCGCGCACAGCCGCTCGCAGATGAGCGGCAGCGGGTCGTCCGTCCAGCGCGCGCGGAGCCGCTCGTAGCCGCGGTGGTAGACCTCCGCGCTGCACAGCTCTTTGTGCCGCGTCAGATACGCCTCCGCGGCGCGGCTGTCCTGCGTGTAGAGCAGGTGGTTCAGGTAACGGAACTGCCGCTCGGACACGCGCTCTGCAGTTGGCACCGCGCGCGGCGCGGCCGCGACCAGCGCTGCGGAGGCCGGCAGCTGGCGCCGTTTGCAAGTTTTTCGCGCCTTCTTGGCGACCTTCGAGAAAGCGAGCACTTCGACTTCTTCGCGCCTGCGGCAGGCGCTTCGCGGCTACGCAGGCACCGGCGTGATTTTCACTAAAACAAAAATGATAAGTTTTCCGGCGCGCGCTGCGCAGCGGAGACGCGACAGAGCTGTTCAGTGGGAGTCGAGACGCGGGTCCGGTGCGGTGAACGAGTGGAAGCAGCTCTCGCCGCGGTGCGGCGCGATTTGCGCGCGCTCGACCGAGCCGCCAGCCGGCTCGGCGTGCGCCGCTTGCGCCCCAATTATTCGTTTATGCATCAAAATTAAAAATGGCGGCGCAAATTCAGCGCGTCCACTGCGGCGCCGCCAAGCCGCCGCGCAGCACGACCAGCGGCGAACAGCGGCGGCCGCAATTAGTTTTGTCTTTTATAAATATTTATTTATCACACATGGCGGAGCAGCTAGTGCAAACGTTTGGCAAGAAACGCCGCGCCATCGCCGTCGCGCGCGTCACGAAGGGAAAGGGTCTGATTCGCTGCAACGGCATTCCGCTCGAACTGCAAGAGCCCGCCGAGCTGCGCGTGAAGGTGTTCGAGCCGCTGCTGGTGCTCGGCAGCGAGAACTTCGCAGACATGGACATCCGCATCAAGGTCGCGGGCGGCGGCAAGGTCGCGCAGCTCTACGCGGTGCGCCAGGCGATCAGCCGCGCGGTGGTTGCGTGGAACCAGAAGTACGTCGACGAGCAGTCGACGCTGAACATGAAGGAAGCGCTGCTCAAGTTCGACCGCGCGCTGCTGGTCAGCGACAACCGGCGCTGCGAGCCCAAGAAGTTCGGCGGCCCGGGCGCGCGCGCGCGCAAACAGAAGTCCTACCGCTAGGCCTATCACTGCACGTTTTATAGATTCAAAAGCAGAGCCGGTACGTGACGTAGCGGCCTGCGGACTCGCTCGCGCGGATGATTTTGACCACGTCGCCGCGCACGAGCCCGAGGTAGCGCGCGACGGCGTCGTGCTGCGAGATGCGCGGGAGCATCACGTCTTTGATTTTGTAGGAGTCGAGCAGCACTTCCTTTTCCTGCTCGGTCAGCTTGACGTGCGTGGGCACGTAGCAGTGCTTGGTGATGTTGAAGAGCAGCTCGCTTTCCAGAAAAAAGTCGATTTTGTAGTTGCTGCTGTACTCCGCGATCGCGTTCTTCGCGAAAGTGGTCAGCGGCTGCAGCGCGACAAAGACGGCGGCGCGCAGCGCGCGCTCGTCGAGCTGGTCGACCAGCGTCTTGATCGGCTTGACGCCGACTTTGCCCGCCTCGTCCGCGAAGTACACGAGCACGCGGTCGTTGCTGTCGAGTTTGCTAGTGCCCACGAAGCTCATCGCGGCGCGGTTGTGCGCGCGCTCCGCGAAGCGCGCCGCGAACGCGTCGAAGTCTTCGCCGGTCTCTTCCTCCGCGACGGCGTACTTGCGGTCCTTCAGCATCTCGAAGCACGTTTGCCGGCACCTCCACAGGTTGCGGACGGCCTTGTCGCTCATGTCATCGAATCTCGATAAAATAAAATTAGGCGAATATCGCTAGCAGACGTCGATTTCTTTGTCCACGTAAACGAGCATCTGCGAGACGACGCGGCCAAGGTTGTCGCAGACCTCTTTCGCGAGCGCGTACTCGCTGCTCGCGCCGGAGTTCTCGAAGCGGTGAAACACCATCGTCTGGTGGTCGATGATCCCGTCGATGCGCTCGTCGATGACCATCTTCGCCAGGTGCTTCTCGACCACGGCCGCGGAGAGCTTCGTCAGCGCCGCGAGCTTCTGCAGCTTGATGCTCGAGTAGGGCATCAGCGCCTTGACGATCGCGCGGTGCACGACGTTTTCCGAGATCAGCTCGATCTGCCGCAGCAGCACGCGGTCCTGCTGCAGCAGCGCGCGGTGCTTCTCGAGCGCCGCGTGGTAGAGCTCGAGCACGTTCGCGGCGTACGCCTGCACGATTTCGGTCATCGCCTTCACCTTCGGCTGCTCGAGGATGCGGTCGAGTAGCACGCCGCGCTGCATCTTGCGGAAATTCGCGGCGCCGTCCTGCAGCGCCGTGAAGAACATCAGAAAGACGTACGCGTCCGTCGCCTTCGCCAAGTTGCGCAGCGTGTTGTATGCGTCGTACGCCTCCAGCAGGTACGAGACCGCGGTCGAATAGTCGAGGTTGAAGCACTGCACCAGCCCCGAGAGCATGTCGATCTCCGCCTGCAGACTCGTCGTGCAGCTCACTTTGTTCGCGGTCGTCTTTGCGCAGGTCAGGCACGACTTGCACTCGGTCAAGTGCCCCGCGTGCAGCGCGAAGCGCGCCTGCAGCAGGTACAGCTCGATCAGCTTCAGCTTGTCGTCGTCTTTCTTGACGACCTCCAGCAGCGCGGCGACCAGTCGCGGGCCTTCCTCGAAGTTGTGCAGCGCGAGGTAGTAGCCCGCGATTTTGATCTGCAGCTGCGTGCGCAGAAACAGCAAGTTGTGCGCGTCGCACCAGGCCACCAGCTGCTGGCAAATCTCGAGGCACTGCGTCGCGCTCTCGCCGCAGCGCTCGAGCTTCTCGAGCGCGCGGTAGACCATGCTCGCGACGCGCGCCTTCGGAAAGCTGCTCGCCTGCTGCAGCAGCAGCTCGAACAGCGGGAAGAACTCGCACAGCGCGTCGTGCTGCACGATGAAGTCCGTGCACGCGAAGAACTTTTTCTCGAACGCGGCGAGCGTGCGCAACACAATGTCCTTTTCGTCCACGTCGTTCGTGTAGCGACCGCGTTCCGCGGACGCTTGCCGTTCGCGCAGCACCTGCGCCTCGATTTGCTGCTGCAGCGAGCCGCGCAGCTCAGCGTAGAGCGCGGCCAGTCGCTGCTCAAAATCTGCGGCGCTCATGCTCGGTTCGCGTTTTCCGCCAGCTCGCTTATTTAATTATGCAATAAACGCTATTTTCGGGATGCTAAACTCGGTGAACAGAAAGGTTTTTCTGCTGTACCCGAACCTGATCGGCTACGCGCGCGCCGCGCTGCTGCTGCTCAGCGTGTTCGCGTTCCACGTCGGGCTGCTGCGCTTTGCAGTTGGCAGCTACGCGGTGTCGCAGCTGCTGGACGCGGTCGACGGCGAAGTCGCGCGGCGGCTCGGGCAGTGCAGCGAGTTCGGCGCCGCGCTGGACATGATCATCGACCGCGTCTCGACAATCGCTCTCTACTTCGCGATCGCGGCAAAGTCTGCGCGCGCCGGGCTGCTGATCTTTTTGCTGTTGCTCGGTGACGTCGGCGGGCACTGGCTCTTCATGTACACGGAGCTGAAGCTCGGCGAGAGCCACCACAAGAACAGCGCTCATTTGCCGCCCGGCCTGAAGCAGTATTACCAGTACCGCAGCCTCATGTTCTTCACGCACGCAGGGTACGAGTGCTGGCTGCTGTGCGAGTTGGTCATTCTGTCTTTGAAAACGCCGCGGCTGCAGCTGTCGTGGATCAACGCGCTCGCGAACCTGCTTTTGCTGCCAGCGTCCGCCAAAATAGTAAGTGCCGGAGTGTTCCAGCCAGTTTTTCAACTTTTATCAGCTCGTCTTCGCGGCCTGCGCCATCGCTTCGAAGCACTGAGCAAGCCGCTGCACGTCGCCGGTTTCGGCCGGACAGCTGCTCCTTTCGCCGCTAGCGTTCGCGAAACATTGCGCAGTCTCGACGTCTGCCGGCGCGCAAGTGACGCGGTAACGCGTTGCGCTGACGCCGTGCCGGAAGTCTCAAGTCGAGTTTCGAAGAGCGGTTGCGCGCTGCGCGAAGATTTTTGCGAACGCTTCGGAAGGGCGGAAGCAGCGGCGGCGTCGCGTCTGGCGGTAGAGCGACCACTTTGATGCTGCGGTCTCCGTGCAGTGTGTCTCGCCCGCAACGCTCTTCGTTCTGTCGGAAGAGAATCACTTCGACCGCGCTCGCCCCCGCAGTGAAACGGAAAACTCGCGAAACGGTGAGTAGCTGCTCCGCAATTTAGTTCATAGATAAACACGCTCTGCGCTTACGCGAGAACCGCGTAGCGGCCGGCCGCGCCGCAACTGCATTGTGGGTGGTACTGCCTTTTTTTTTTATTTTATAGAGCCGCACCAAGCCCGCGCGAGCGCGCTGAGCACATCGCTGGTCAATGCGACGGTTCAGCGCTAAAGGCGGCTCCTCGCTGCAGTCCGCGTCCGCGCTTGTAGCGTCACTCAGCTTTTACTTTTGCGCCGACCCTGCTGACACGTCTTTTCTCGAAATTCGCGGCGACCAGGCAGAAAAGCCATTCGGTATCTTTTACCAAAACCCGTCGGCCGCCGTCTCTGGAATTGCGCGGCGCGACGACTTCATCAATAGCATTTTGGCGTTCAAGAAGACGGACATGGTTCTCCGCAAGGAGACGCAGGTCGACCACGATTACTACCTGGTCACGCTTCTGCGCGACCCTCCAAAGCTGAAATCTTCGGCGCAGCCCGTCAACATGCGGCTGTACCGCTTGAATCTGCGCAACGCCCGCAACTGCTGGATGTCGACGGTGCTGCAAAGCTGCAACCACGCATTTGCAACGCAGGCGCGGAATGGCTGCTCGATAACGCCCATCTGTTCGTTCTCAGCGGTCATGCCGCTGCCGCCGATGAACCATATGTTGACGCAAGCTCTCTTGAACGAAGTCATGGCGCACTACGAGAAGTACGTAGAGTATGGCTCTGAACAAGAGGAGACCCAGCAGGCTGCGCGCTGTGGTTTCTTCGCTCGCCTCTTCCACTGGATTGCCGCGAGGCTATGGGCCAAGCGCACCGACGCCAAGCCGCCGAAACCAAGCAACAAGCCAATCCGCGTGCGATTCGACGACCTCCCCTCAAAGATGAGAATCGTTTATCCAGCATGAAAGCGCGTCTCGGGCTAAACCGGCCTAGGCCGCTTGCCGTCGTGCCTTTTGCCGCACGCGCAACAGCAGCACGACCTTTCTCTGCGGCGCTTGCGTAAACTCTGCTTCGTATCCGCGCTGTGCACTCGAATTTGGGATCTAGTGCGGCAGCACGCTCGACTGACTGACAGCGGCGGATAATGTTTCCGACACTCGCGCTACCCACTCCTCATACTTCCGATTTTTCCGTACACTTGTATCTACGCCAGCGCCAGCGGGAGCGTAGGCAGCTCTTGCCGTGGACACAGAAAGGCCGCGCGGGATTTTCTGCAGCGCTCGCGGCGCGGCTAACTTCGGTTTCGGCCGCTGCTACGAGCGCTGGCCAATCGCTGTTGTCGTCGGCGCAAACGGCGAAAAGCCTCTGCTTCTTGTCTTATCGCGGCGCAAACGCTCGCGGCGACGGAGCTCCCACGCTTCGAAATCCGAAGCCCCGTGTTCCACGCTTCGTTGTTTTGCTCTCTGCAGCCGGACGCGTGCACAACGACTGTCGCCTCCTTGCTTTCAGCGCACGAAAGCGCAGCTCTTCTAGCGCTCCGCAACGCGGAAACTTGGTAACCTGCGAGCTGCGGGGTGGACACCTGCAGAACTTGACATGTGTTGGACAGCGTCAATGGCTGGCTCGAGGTCGCGCTGTGCAGGCTCGAAGCGGCGCTTCCGATGCTGATTGAAAAGCCCGAATCTACGTGCGCCGACTGAAGAACTCGCGTAGCAGTTTGACGCAAGCGTCTCGCGTGGCCTCGAGCGCTCCAGCAAAACATCTTACAAACTCTGCAGAGTTGGCGACGAGCTGAGACGCTTCTTTTGACGCTGCCGGCTCCTGTGTGGCCAAACAGGTTGCGCCTTCTGTTCGCGTCAGACTATCTTGCACGGAACGAGTGCGGCGGAACCCTGTGCATTTTGCCCTCGAAAACTACGAAGAAAGGCGAAAGTGGGTCAGAAACTCCAACAGCGAGCTGAGCCTCCGATGCGCCTTCCCGCGCTCCGCTGGGCGCATTTTTACTGCAGGCTCGCTGCCACGAGCAGACTTTTTCCGCTTTCCGACTCTTGCCATCGCAAAAGCGCGAGTGCATTCGGACGTACTGGGGGTAGCTGCGACACTCGAGATTTATATTCCGTGTCGAGATCTTTCCTTCAAAACTTAAATTGAACAACTGTCCGAGCTCAGGCTGTGCTCGCAGAATTTTCATGCGATTCCAATTTTTGCAGCGCAGAAGTGGCGCCGAACCAGCTTTGGCGCAACTAGCTTCGTTTTGCATCATATCAAGGAGGATTAGTCCGAACTTGAGATTAGAGTAGCACCACCGAAATTTGTTTTAAGCATCTACTGCATGCCAAAGGGAATGTCTTCAGCTGACGTAAAAGAGAAAGAACTACAGTACTGTTCGTTAGTAAGATGTAACGCTATTCAGCTGCCCGAAAACGTCGGCCCAAACCAAATTTGTCACCTACTTACGATGGACGAAGGTAAAGCAAAGATTTTCGGGTTGAACCCGATCCAAGCGTTGAGAAGAGGTTTGGCTAAGGCATTTATACATGCGGTACTAAAGGATCCGTCAGCGCGAGACAGCCTTGGATGATTGAGCATTCCGGTAGGGCTAAGGGCATTGCGAATCGACTAAGGGGATGGCGATCCATGATCGACGCAGAAGTAAAACGAGCAGCTGAGCAGCGGATTACCCAGTGTGAGTGCCAGAGAAGAGCGAATTATGAAAAACTTCAACGCTCAGGTAACAAATTCGAAAAGTCCAACATCGGAAGCAATGCATCAGAAGTTGATGATTGGAGGAAATCCGTGATGCCCTTTTATAAGCAGCAATGCGCTGTAGCTTCAAACGAGGAGTACTTCTATGACGTCATCTGCATCACGTACCCTTACGACATTGAAAAAAGGATAAATCTCGATCCGCAATTATATTTCAAGCTGGGTCTGTGATCTGCCGCCTGCTACCCGAAAAGTTCGGAATGATTCATGGCGCAGAGGTCGCGGTCGAAAGCAGCTGCAGCGTTACTAGGGTGACGGCAGCTGGCTTCGGCACGTGGGACACTGCGTTTTTATATTGATCCACGACTGCAAGCACTTTTCGTGGAAAAAGTGGTTGCACGGCGTCACCAGCGTTCGCTTTTCGAGCAGGTCGAGTTCTGTGAAGCAAATTGCGCACTGCGCCTCGCAACTTGACTCGAGCTTGTACTTCGCAATCGCGCGCTGCTTTGCGCTCAGCGACTTGTAGTTGTACAACTCGGCGCAAAAGCGCTTGCTGACTGCGGGTGGCACAAGGAAACGCACGCAGAGCTGCGACTGCGCCGCCGCGTACGCGAGTTGCGCGACGCAAATTAGCAGCATGACGCACAACAAGCTTTCCGTAAAGCACGTCTCGCCGAACGCCAGCCGCAACTTCGGCTCAATCTCAACTTCGCTGAAGGTTGCAGAACGGGCGAACTTGACGCCGAAGTACACCGACTCTCTGCTGCGCATTTCAAGGTGCGCCCAACGCCGCGCCATTTCGACTATTCCGGTTCCGGTGGTGCTCAGGCAGTGAACAAACGGCAGCGCACAGACACTCAGCAGGCTCGCGCCTACGTACCACAGCGGATACGGCTGCTTGGTGCCCTGGTGGACCGACTTGCCGAGTTGCGGCAATAAGCCCAGGCAGAAGAGCGCCACGACCGCTGCATTGAACTGATACAGCTTCACACAGAGCAACGCCCCTCCCAGCACGCACAGCGAGTGCGCCTTGAACCGAGAAGTCACGGTCCTCATAATAACTTCTGCGGACTGCTCCGCGTTTTGCTGCTTCGCCTGCTCGAGCAACGCGGCTGCTAGCAGTTTCATACTCGCCACAACGTACGTGAAAAAGTTGAACGCAACAGTTAGCGCTATCGCATTGAAACCGTTAACGTGCGACGAGTCAGCAATAATTAGCGTCTCCGTCGCGATGTACCCCAGAAACAAGCACTGCGACACCGTGCTGACGCTCCGCAACTGGCGCGCGTTCAGCCGATAGCGAACTAACAGCACGTGCGCCACCAACAGCAAAGCGCTCTTCGCCATCAGAATACGGCCGTAGCGACTCGACTGCTGTTCGAAGTAGTACCTTGGAAATTGCGCCACCGCCACTTCGTACCGCTCCGCTGCGAGCTTCCGCGCAGCGTCGCTACACTGGTGTACCTGTAGCTCGCCGTCTAGTGTTTTCGTCAGCGCATCGCTGCCGCCCGCCGCGAACCTCGGCGCCGTGCGCGACACTTTCTCGTCTGCCGCACTCAACTCCAGCGAGCCCGACAGCGCGCAGCCGTCTTGCAACTTGTACGCCATGTACACCTTCTCGCCGTGCCGACGGATCAGCCGCAACCTGCTGGGTTTAGCAGACCAGGGCGCCGCACCCCAGCTTGTGAAATACGAATTGAAGCCGTCCACAAAGTGTTGCGCCGCGTTAAACGACGTAACCGACACCTCCGTCTGCGCGACCGCCTCTGTTTCGCGCTCGGGCAGGCGTTTCAGAAACACCAAGTGGTATCCCGTGAGGTCGCTATGTTGTTTCAAGTTGTACTCGCACGTTTGTGTCGCAGCACTTCGCTGCTGAGGCGCGACGCGCGCGGTCTGGCCCGCTTCCGCGGCAGCGTTGTCTGCACGGCCAAACTGCGCGCTGGGCGCTGCGAACGCTAGCGATCTGCTTTGCGCTACAACAATCCACAGCACAGCAGCATGCTTGCGTCTAAGCATGCCTCATTTTTTTCGTTATCTGGTCCAGAGCAGCAACGTTCTGATCATTATTCAATTTAATTTTACGCAGCATAAACTCACGTTTGATGTTTTTCGTGCGCTCTGGCGGTCGCGAAACGTGAACGCTCCATGAGTGAATCGGTTTCGGGAGGGAAGCGCTTGAGCTCCGTTAGCGAAGACTTTTTTAGCAAGCGGATCAATGAAACTGGTGAAGCCTTTTCGGTAGATCTGGTCGTGACCAATGCCCAGCAGGCCGAAAACTTCGGCGTCAGCTTCGACGCCGGCAGCCTGCACGTCGCGAGCAACTCGGGAAAAAGCGCGCGCCACTACGCGTTCAACCGAGTCTGCGCAGCGAACGAGTTCGCCGAGACGCGCAGCGCCGATCTTGCGGCCAGCGCAATCGCGCTGCTGCAACGCGGCTTTAACGCGGGCGTGTTTTTTCTGCGCGGGCCGGGCGCAGCGCAGGGCGACTTTTTGCGGTGCCTGGCCGCGGCCTTCGACTCTCCAGCCGCAGCCGCCGCCGGCTCCCACAGCTTCGAGCTCTTCGCAGGCACGGTCCTCAACTGCGTGAACTGCTTGTTTGCCGAGCTTCAAAAGGAGCGCGCAGCGGCTTGCGTTAAGCTGTCTTTGCTCGAGATTCGCAACGAAGAGATTTTCGATTGCTTGGCGCACGAGCCGGAAGCGGTCCTTCGCGTCGCCGACACGGCGCAAAGCATCGCGTACAAGCCTTTGGCGCTGAAGAATTTGTCCGAACACGTAATCTCCGGCGGGGCGCAGGTGCGCGAGCTGCTGCTGCGGCACGTGCGCCACAACTCTGCCGCTTCCGCCGCGAGCGACGATTTCGAGCGGTCTGCCACTGTCGTGGTGTCGCTGGTCCTCCAAACCGAGGAAACGTTTTCTGACGACGAGGTCCAGGTGCGGACCGGCCGACTGAATCTCGTTGTTCTGCCGCACTGCGAGGTGCACTCCGGGCTGGCGGAGAAAACTCGCGACTCGACGTGGCCGTCACTTGCTAAAGTCTTGGCCGCGATTGGCGCGCGGAACAAGTTCGTGCCGTACCGCCTTAGCCGGTTCACGCGTCTTTTCCAAGACTATTTCGGCGGCAAAGGTTTTGCGACCGCCGTCGCCGTGCTCGATTGCGCTAGCAAGAACGTCGAAGCGACCGTGCGCTTTCTCGACTTCTGCAAAGCGCTGCAGACTGTGAGGAACAAGCCGAAACCCAACCCCCGAATGAGCCGCAACTCGGTGCTCAACGAGTTGTACGTAGAGCTGCGACAGGCGCGGAAAGAGTTAGCGATGGCGCGCTCAAAGAGCGCGGAGGTCCACCTCGACTACGAAACCTACGACGAACTCTGCGCGAGCAAAAAGTCGCTTGCGGAGTTCAAAGCGCGCGCCATCGCTGCCGAACAGACGTGCGCCGAGCAGACCGAACTGCTTGCGAATAAGCAGCGTTGCATGCACTTTGTGTGCTTGACCCTCTGTGAAGCGCTCAAGCGCAACGACGCGACTGCGGCATTCGCCGAAAAGACGCTTGACTCGCACAACCAGTTCTTGCTGCACCTCGAGTCGCTGCACAACTCTTTCCGCCGCGAGCTGCAGGGCGCGCAAAAGCGCACGGCGCAGTTTCTGTCGCTCGAAGTGCAGCAGCACATAAAAAGTTTTCTTGACTGCAGCGATCTGTTCAGAGCAGCGCTCCAAGAGTTGATGAAACGCGCGCAAGAGCGCACACTCCCGTCGAGCGACTTCGAAGCTGCTGTGGAAGCGTTTCTCGAAAACGACCGCGTCGCGGACGCTTTTGCGCTTCACGCCAATGAGATCACCGCAACTGGAAACGAGACCTTGAAGTCGCTCGTCGCCCATCTGTCCGATTGGCGAGCCAGAGAATTGCAGAACGCAAACGAAGATGGCTTTTTCGCAAACGCATATAACAGCCTCAGCGCGAACAAAAAACTGCTGCAGAACACGCTCTCCACAACTAGCGAGCAGCCGCCTGATGCAGAGCAGTACAAACTTGAGCTGTCGAGCGTGTTTCAACAGTTCTCGGTTCGCGTCGAAACTTCGCTTGCAGACCTTCGAGACAAAATGGACGCAGAAGTTGCGCAGCTCAAGGAACAGACTGCTGCGCAGCTTGACGCGTGCTACAGCAATATGATCTTGAATCGCTATGCTCAGCTCGAGAGCATAGCGCACAACGCGGAAAGCGCGCTGCAGAACACCGACGCACTGGCCGGCGGCGTCGTGCAGTTCTACAACTCGCTCGACCAGACACTACAGTTCGCGAGCGCGGCTGCTGCGCAGCGGTCGCCGAGCGAAGCTGCGTTGCTCGCGCGCCAAGTCGCCAAAACCTGCGGCTGCGTGATGCGCGACTGCGCCGAAGAGTTCCGCGCACACTTCTGCGTAGCGCAGCAGGAATGGCTAGACCGACAGATTTGCGAGAGCGCTGCAACCTTCGACCGGCAGCTGCGCGCCGCAGCAGAAGACTGGAGTGCGAAAGTTGCCGCGCACGCGCGCGCCGTGGAAGTAGCCGAGGGCAGCGACGCGATGAGCTTCCTTGCTGCTGACCGCGCGCGCGAGCTAGACGCGCAGTACAAAACCTGCAAGCAGACGCGCGTCTTCCGCCTTTCGCCAAGTATGGCGGAGCACGTGGCGAGTGGAGAGTTCGAAAAAGCGGCGCAGCTCGCGGTTGCCGAGTGGCAAGAGTTGACTGAGGCACTTGCCGCGTAGTCGCGAGGCACACGCCACGGCGCGAGTCAATCGCTCACTGCGTCGCGAGGTACATAGACTTTGTGCGAGACTTCACCCAGTTTTCGAGCAATTTGCTCGGCTCCTGGTTGAACGGATTGCGCAAGACTTCGCGGTAGAACGCTTTGTACTGCAAGCAGTGCGCGTTGACTTCCGGCGAGATGCGCAACACTTCGTCCGGTTTGCTGCCGCACGCGTTTTCGTTGCTCGGAGCGCGCGCGGGCTCAGCTCGCATTGCCGCGGGGTCGGTCTCTGCGCCGCTGGCTGCAAAGTCGCTGTGCGAGTGGTCGGACTCGCTGTGCGCACGCAACGGGTCTTCGCGCAGTCGCGCCTTCG